GGGGCGGGGGGTAAAGTTCTCACCCCATTTGTCTTGGTTGAGTCGAAAGACGTGGACATTAAATTCGGAGATACTTACTTTCTACTTTTTTACTCTCTCTCCCTATACCTTCATGTACATAAGACGTTGAGCAATCGACGTCACGTTTGCCTGTCCTGGGCCACACTCTCCGATCTCTGCACATGTTGGAGATGCCGACTCTTCAGATAACCTTACAGTGTTGAAAGGGGCGTTAGATTTACACAAATAATAATATAAGAATTATTAGCCTCAGCTTCGGCTACTCTCTTCTTTGTGTACCTGATGGTATAGGTACAGAGAATGTACATGTACAAGAAAAATTAGCCAGGGAAAAGCAAGCGGGGTGTCGACTACCCCCTGCCTGAAGTACCTGACGGTATAGGGAGGGACAGAGTAAGTATAAGAATAATTAGCTGGGGACAGGCAAGCGTGGTGTCGAAATTATGCAAACTGAGCCCAAAAATTTGAAATTAAGCGATTCTCTTAATTTTAAAAAAGAACTATAAAGGAAAATAATCAGAAATTAAGCAAAAAATTATCAAATTTTGCATAATTATGCGTGGTGCATAAAACCACGGGGTCAGCGCTATGTACCTGGCTGTATAGGGACAGTGAATGTATTCGAATTACTAGTTGTCATGATAAATATTATTACTGGAGCTCACCCTGTCCAGATAAGGAAGTCCACGTCGGCCTTGACCCTGGCCATCTCTCGTACGCTCTCCAAGACCAGTTCCCAGGGGGAGTCGCACCAGTAGTCTCCGAACTGTCCCTTGACCGGAACTTCGTCATTGCACGACAGACCCGATGTCCAGTATGTGTGGTCATAGTGGAAGTCTGTCACGTGCCAGAAGTATCCTGAGAACAAGGACCAATTTGTTTGACTGTTTATTAAGGATTACAAGAAACAAATTAATAGTTTATCTAATTCCACAGTTCAAGACATCCTATCATTGGCCTATTTCCCTCACTATTCCTTTGCCTTGTAATATCTATCCACCTACCTAACAATCTACCTTCTTATCTACCTATCTATCGACCTATCTATCTATCTGTCTGTCTGTCTGCCTGTTTATATCTATCTATCTGTCTGTCTGTTTGTCTATCCATACCTATCTGATTGTCGGTCTGTCTGTCTGTCGGTCTGTCCATATCTATCTATCTGTCTGTCAGTCCATATCTGTCTGTCTGTTTGTCTGTCTGTCTGTCGGTCTGTCTGTCTGTCTGTCTGTCTGTTTTTGACAATGCTTTCCTCGGGTTGCGAATTCAAAAGTCAAGCCTTCAGCCTGCACATGAATTGTACAAAATCAGGGGGAGGGGGGGGGAGAAGGGAAGATATTCACTTTGTTCAGGGGGAGTACACTGACTTATGGTACATTCAGTAACACAGAGTGAATCTCAACAGCTCACGGCACTCTTGTCTTAACAGTATTTTTATCTGTTTTAGCTAGGTAATACATATTGTATTGAGTCAAGTAGAAAAAGCGACAAGAAGATAAGAAAACAGAGATGACACACTACCGACAATATCGCACCATAGCCCTTCATGAACATTGTTTCAGCTAATACATAGCATGCACCTAGGGTTGGGGTGAGGTGGACCTGTAGACATATTATTATTATGCCATACATATTATGTCATCGCCCTCCCCCATTTCCCGTCTCCACTTCATCGTTTTTGTGGCTTTCGGTTTAGTTATTTTTGCTTTGTTGCGCTTTTTAAAGCTCTCATTTTCTCCTTTTTCATTTCTCCATACTTTTCGGTGAGGGCTTTGGGAGGGGGGGGGGTTCAAGTATACCTTCTTTTATATGAACAACAGTTTGTCTTGTTACACTTGTGTGTCATTAAATGTTACCATAAACCTAGAGGACTCATCGAGAACAAACGGTTCGTTTTGGCTAATGCAGAAATATTGAATATTGAAAAAGAGGGGAGTTTTTGTTTTGCTATTACGTCCAGGAATGCAAGTACGTAATTTCATTATCGTTGAATGCACATGACGAGGACATGTTCGCTTTGAACAAGTGTTTCACGTGTCCATGAAAGATTAATGCACCTTAAATTCGAAAGGCAAGCCTTGCCATTAGCAATTCGTTTACAGACGCAACAACTGTCTAAACGTAGCAGGTGTTTCTCTGACTTCCCACTCCAAGCCACGGACCCAGGGGCGGTGGGTAGTGAAGGGCTCACGGGCTTGACCCCTCCCCCTCCCCATCCACCACCCCCGACTCTATCCCAAAGTAAATGAAAATTTCTCCATAATGAAATAAGCAGTTGAAACCGTTATGACCGCACGCAAAGAACTCAGGGTGATCAACTTAGCGACTTGCTCGTTTATCCAATCACTGTTGTCACCGTTTACAACTATAGTAACCCAGCAGCCAATCAAATGTCTTTAGGGCTCAGCAAAGGATGAGGATGAGCCCTTTCCCACTGCCCGTCCTTAATGAAACTCTTCTTGTAAAAAAAGGTAAAAGACCTGAAAAAAGAACACTGTAGTGAGGGCTCTCGTTCTCCTAGCAATGACAATGGGGTGAACGTTTACGACACATTTTCCCCCACTGACACAGATACCTACTTATGCGCTCGTTGGTTCTTTGTTGGGTGCGTTCAACTTTCTCGACTACACGGCTTAATCCATCTCAGGGAAGTAATATGTTTGAAGTGTTGTGTGTGCATGTTTGCGTTTGAGCCGCTGAGATTTAACCGTTATAAATCAGGTCGAACTAATTTTAAGTCAATTTTTCCTCATATGAAAATTAATTAGAGGAAATTTGGAGGTGGATCGGCTTCGTCGCCACCATCAACAATAATTTAACTAAGAACAAAGAGATGGAAAGCAAAGGTAACTCTTTTCGTTTGAATGGTTCTCAAAATGCCGTGGCTCACCGTGATTATAGAAAAATCATCACTGTCTAGTTCTTATTGCTTGCTATTTGATGGTAAAGAACTGGAAACAACCTAAGCCCTACCGAAATTTTGGTCCACCCACCGCCACTGCACGGACCCGACCGTGTCCCTAAACAAAAAGGAATTTCCTTCCAGCGAAAAGGTGCTTTATTTATTTCTTCCATTGAATAACATTATGTTTCTTTCATGGCGTTTGGATAATGTTTATGTGGGCATCGAGGTGGAGGATAGACGTTTTGGAGAAAAAGAACAGAAGGGAACCTGGTAAGGGGGGGGGGG